ACTCAAAAGCGACGAGTGTGGCTACAAGTCTGAATGATGATTCTTGTTTTTGGGTGCACGTCGAGGAAGCGCTTATCTTGTGCAACGAACTAGCGAGGAATCCAGATGGCAGGCAAAAGCTGATCGAATTTGAGCGTTACGTGCTGGATACGCTCAAGAATTTCGCAGTGACACCTGATATTTTCTTGCCGCAAAGCAGCTTCATGCAATGGTGGAACAAGTATAAAGATATTGTGGGAAGTAGCTACTCCTCGGAACTCACAGACGTCATGAGGCGTCGCACTTATCGCAATTATGCAGATGGGGTCTCGGTTCTTGCTGGTCTATAAGCCAAGATAATTAAGTTTTAAGCAAGCAATTAAATCAGATAAAGCAAGATTAGTTTTGCTGTATCGCTCATGATCTTCACAGAGAGACGGGCAGTACTTGTTGGTGCTACTACGTTTCAATATTTTTGTTTGTGGTTTCTTTTTGTTTTGGGCTCGAGCATCTATAAGAAAAATAATGTGTGGGGGTATTGTTTCAATTATAATGTTGTAATTTCCACTTCATAAAAGTAATGACGCTCGTTGTATTTTGATTTTACTAAGTGTGATAAGTACTACCTAATTAGTATTTGTAATAAAGTGAGACTTACTTTTGTCGTGGTTTGTGTTGTATTAATCTTCATATGAACCTATAAAGTACAAAAGCTTAATCTTGTAAATACATATTCTAGCAATGTGAAGAGTGGAATTAGGATTCAATGCTAAAGCAAAATACTTACGTATCCCATTGTGTATACCCTTCTAGTGCGTTTTCACACAGCACGCAACGTATGATAAGGGTGCGTTTGGTACGTGGGACGGGACGGGACGGAACGGGACGAGGCGTTCCGTCCCGCGTTTAGTGCGCCAAAAATGGATGGAACGGGCTGTTCCACGGGACAGGTTTTGGGTGTTTTTGCGTTCCACCTCCCCCCTGGAACGGGTTTGTTCCACGTCTGTGGAACACAATGTTTTACCATTTTAAGACAAATATACCCCATGTCTTTTTCAAAAATGACACCTTCGTTCCGTCCTGTCCCGTCCCGTCCCGTCCCGTTCCGTCCCGTCCCGTCCCGTCCCGTCCCGTCCCGTCTGCGTACCAAACGCACCCTAAAGGAACAAAAAGGTATACACCTCGAGACAAGTAAGTCCCATGTGCTAGTAAATTAGCTTGGATGTATGGCTGGTTTGGTATTGCTGTGCTTTGAAAAAAAGCTGCTATAAGAATAAGCGGCTGTGAAATAAATCAGCAGAGCGTTTGGTAAACTTTTTTGTAAAAGTGCTTTTGAAAAAAAAAGCAGTTTGATAGTTGGTCTTTTCATTAAAGGAGCACTGTAGTTCCGTGTGCTTTGAAAAAAAGCCAGTTTTCCAAAGCTGCAAATAGCAGCTTCAGCTTTTTCTTTTGATTTCAGCTTATTCTCACAGCAGCTTCCAAAATAAGCCATTTTTTTTCAGTTTACCAAACACCTAAAACCCTCACAACTTTTTTTCATAGGTGCTTTTTTTTAAGCACCTCACTCCCAAACTAGGTCGTAATGTAGTCACGGGAAGCGTAAGAAACAAAGAAAGGAGTGTACAGCCTGGGACAAAGCACATATATATTTTACAACTACATGTATGTACTCTATGGGTGAGGCATGGCCTAAGGGGAAGGATCTCCATTTTTTTTCAAAAAATAGGAATTAGTTGTGAGACTCACTCCACATCGAACTTCAACGATCCGAATCATCTATTTTGTAAATTTTGATTCATAGATCATTCTTACAAAAATTCAAGTCCGAAACTAATTATCACGATAAAATTTGAATGTTTTATTAGAACAAAATGTTCGTCAATTTTTTTGAATTCAATTATATGCCTGTTTGGATCCAAATTTACACCATTGGCCCATGCAATCAAGGCCTTTGAGTGAGCATAGCTCCCAACCATCGGATGGAAAAGTGAAGATAATTTTGTTATTGTTGAAGGATAATATTATGATTTTTATCATAATAATTATCTTTTAATATGGATTATCTGCATCTTCTTAAACCAGATAAATAGGATGCGAATTATATCCTAAGCAAGCAGTACAGTTCGAATTGATTTGGGATGTTTGACGACACTTGGAAGCTAAAAATGAATTTGAAATTCATTTGATCAGGATGCATGCATGGATGGGTTTAAAGGTGATGGAATTATATGATGTGATAAGCCTAGGATTTGATGGTCTTGGATAATGATGAGATAAGAAACTTAGGTAGGCTAGGCCTTTTTTTGCATGGTGATGGGCGTTGTCATATGAGTTTGGAGTGATAAGAATTGATGATGTGAGCACAGTATGATTGTCGTGTGAAAGGGCACTTCGAGATTTCAAAGGGACACCTGTTGTTCCTCTTGTAAAAGTCCACAAGCATAAGAAGACTAGGGAGATTTTTGCCGAAATATATTAAAGATAATATCAGTTATTGTTTTTTAGAGTATATTCGGAAAGAGAGATTATATTCACACACCTCAAATTACTTCTCCCACACCTTTTTATTTTTTTAATATTTTCTACACACCACTAACACTTGATAAAAAAATATTAAAAAATTAAAAGGGTGTGGGAGAAGTAATTTGAGGTGTGTGAATATAATCTCCCATTCGGAAAAGGCCTCTATTGGATTGGCGATCAAGAAGACTTGCTATAAATACAGAGGCAGTGGCAACATGAAAAGTCCTCATCCAATTCAACACACAAACTGCCATGTACAAACTCTTGCTTTACGTGAAACCTTTCAACAACCTTGAGATTTTATTTTCTTTTTCCCGCTGACACATCTTAAATTTTAATAAACAGCATTGTGAAGGCAACCGGTGAACATCTTCAGTTTGGATAAACAGCACTGTGCCATAGAACCATTCGACCGCGAAGCACCTTCAGTTTGGATAAACAGCATTGCTCCGAGACCGACTGGTTACCTATCCAAGTCTCGGTCAAGAAGGATTTTCGAGTCCTTATTGGCAGATGTCATCTCATCAGCCTTCTCGACGAAGTGAGATGTTACCAAGTTACTACATTTAGCACCCTGAGAGCCGAATTTGATATTGAACTTCGCAGAACTAGCAGCCCTTCAGGCTCTAGAACCCGAAGGCCGAGACGTGTTCCTTTCTCGGCCACAGTCGTGAGATTTAGAAGTCAACAACACGCCCAACGCAACATCAACTCATTTTACTCACCGGTCGAGCTCGGCCGTCGAGTTGGCACGCCCTACACACAACCGAAGAACGTAGTTAGCTTTTTAATTGTTCGGCCTGTGCGCCACGTAGGCTTGATAGTTTTTAGGTTGGAGAAATTAGGTTCACATCCTTCTTTTTGCTACTCCATTGATTAAAATCCTATTCATTTTCAATTTTTGATCAAGGTCATTGGGTATTAATAACATCATTAATCATTTGAATAATAAAATATTTTTATTTTTAAATATATTCCTTTAGTGTTAAAAATGTTAAAATTAGTATATTTATGTTTATGGCTAAATTTTTTATCATATATTTTTATTTTTAGTTTGTACCTCTTTTTAATTTGTACCCAATTTTCTTTTCATTTTTAATTTGTACCCATATATTAGTTTCTTTATGTGCCCATATTTTTTTAAAGTTTTATTTGTATTTGTACCCATGTCTATAACGTCACGTGACATTGTATATTTAATCAATTATAGAAAAACTACATATGGTATATTTATGTTTTATGCCTAAACTTTGTATCATATATTTATATTTTTAGTTTGTACCCACTTTTAATTTGCAACATTTTTTTAAATTTGTAGTATTTTCTTTTTAGTTTTATTTTGTACCCATGTATTAATTTCTTTTAGTGCCTATATTATTTAAAAATTCATTTGTACTCGTAATTTTTTAATCTTTTATATGTACCCTAATTTATTTATAATGTACCCATTCTTCTTTATTAATGTACCACTTTGTTATATGTGAAATGTACCAATTTTTTTAACATTATGGATACATTCTTTTGCCATTTATTATTTCTTATTTTTACATAGTTTTTATCCATTTATTCAAGGGAGTTTTAACGAAAAGCCCACGGTACTGTTCACTTTAACGAAAAACCACATTTTTACACTAAAAAGTCAAACCTGCTACTATTCACTTTAGCCTTTATTTTGTCCTTATCGTTAAAACTCAAAGTTTTTAAGCCCTTTTCATTAATTTTCCTTTTATTTTCAATCAAAATGTTTGAATTTTTTTATTGTAACTGTTTCTAATAGTATTATAATGAGGGATTTTAAATTTATAGGATTATAAATCTCATAAAATATCAAACAATTAATGTCAAAACTATAAAAATATAAATATTAATTGTAATATAATGAGGTGTACAAAATCAAAGGACTTTGATCAAACTTTGAATACCATTATGGTTTTAGTCAAAGAATATTAAGGATTAGAGACTACATCCAAAGTATCCCTTTTAGGTTCAATAATGCCTTAAATATTTTTTAAGGAAAACTAATAAAAAAGGCTTGAAAACTTTGAGTTTTAATGATAAGGACAAAATAAAGGGTAAAGTGAATAGTACCAGGATTGACTTTTTAGTGTAAAAATATGATTTTTCGTTAAAGTGAACAGTACCAAATGCTTTTCGTTAAAGTTCCCTATTTTTTATTTGACTAATATTTTACAAAATTAATCAATGAAAAGCAACTTCAAAAATACACGATTCAAATCGTTAAAATTTAATGTGGTGCCCTTCCCTTAAAATGACGTGGTGATTTAGATAGACACTAGAAATTAGGCTCGTGCGTTGCCACAGGAACCAACTTTTTCAGACGTAATCGAATGAATAAATTCAACACAATTATGAACAAACAAAGGGATACATAAGTGAATGAAATCGATAAAATAAGCAATTTTGCTTTTATATACATTCAAGTGAGTTGACATATAAACACATTGTACAATGAGTGGGAAGAAACTGAACGTCTTTGATTAGAAAGAGATGGTTTCAAAAAAAGTTCTGTTTCCTTAAGAAACAAAAGAAACATTTAGTTCACATATATAATGTGTCATGCAGTGTAGACGGCCATTTCAACAGATAATTAAAAATAGAGAGTGTTGAGGACTTGTTCAAGTAGTTAATTTTGTAACCACAACTTTTCAAAGGCAAAAATAAGCAGAAGGTTTGTTTCCATACCAAACTGAAGAAACAGATGCAAGCTACAGTTTACACATATTTTGCCCCTGCAGTTAAGACAGCAAAATATATGCCCTGCAATCTACGTACCTCACTTGTGCAACATATGCCTTACACTGGAAAAACATCAAAAATTGAATACAAATTTGTAAATCATGGACAGATTTTGTTTTACATTTTTATAATCAAATCAAACGGCAATGTAGCACGTAAAATTACAAACTTGAAGCAACCAGAGAGCAAAAATTAAGATGTAGAGATATCCTCAAACTTGCAACATATTGTATGGAAGCTAACCGTAGAGGTTTGTGAAGCAAACTGCGGCATGAGTTGCAGTCAATTGAACAAAAATATAGTAGTTCAACTAAAAAATGCATATAAACACATTTAAGTTAAATAAATTCAACACAATTATGAAAGGATACATGAGTGAATGAGATCGATAAGATAAGCAGTTTTGCTTTTATATACATTCAAGTGAGCTAGCATACAAACACATTGTACAATGAGTGGGAAGAAACTGAACGTCTTTGATTAGAAATATATGGTTTCCAAAATAGTTTTGTTTCCTTAAAAAACAGAAGAAACATGTAGTTCACACAAATGTGTCCTGTAGTGTAGGCAACCATTTCAATAGGTAATGCCAAGAAAAGGAATTAAAATATTAGGCATATAAATGCAAGCTTACAGAAACTTTGTTTTTGTACACTTTCTTCTCCCTTGAATGACAGTTTGTTTCTTATCTAGAAAAATAAAATGAGCAGGTCAATGATACTCACATGTGCAAAATGCTAATCCTATGGTCTAAAGCTAACTGAGTTTTTAAATGTAAAATCTCTAATTTCACTGCATTTGGATTGATCACAGTTCGTGACTTGTTAAACTTGATATCTCCTTGTACATTTTGGGAACTTGACGGCTTAAAGAAGTGCTCATAAAAGCAAATTACACAATATCTACTAAAAAACTTAGAGAAGGGACTCAATTAGTCAACAACCAGGTGCCTCACACTTAAATATTAAAGACCAAAGGGAGAAAACGAAGCCAAACTCTTAAAAATTCGTTGGCACACATGCTTCATTGGCTCAATTGAATGTATAATACAATAATTCGAACAATAGCTCAGAAACAGTGCTAAAATTCCATTAGCACTAATCACACACTGTTGGAACAGAGATCCTAGCAAAGCTACACCAATTAAATGACAGACTAAAAACCACAAACAGGAAAAAAGGAAAAACAGAGTTATCAGACAGCATGATTCAAATATAATTTTATTAGGGTTTGTAAAAGCACAACTCATCCAGCACTTCGAACACACCGTGGGATTTAAAGACCATAGAGTAACATGTTGGATTCATCATTTTTTGAGAAGAGACAAACCTTTCATTTAAGCTAACACAAATTACATATCAAAGGATAAGGAGTACGCTCTAAGAACAGACGGAAATAAAACAAACACATAACAGACATAACTATCATACCAAGAAGCCCCCAGACACTTACTATTGGCTTTGATATCAGTTTTACAATCTGCCTTTGATATCAATTCCACAATTGGGAATTGATATCAATCTTAAACCCCACAGGCTATTCATGTTTGAGAAGGCATCAGACATGCCCGTCAAAATCATTACCAAGCTTAGATACTTTCAGAGTACGTGAAGTGGGGTCACTTACATTCTGTATCAAAAAACCTGACAGACGCCAATGAAATTTTAATAGCGGAATTGAACCTAATTCATTAACTGTGGTTCGTGCATGGTCATGATGATATGAGGTGAATCGCTCTCTAAAATCAGATCTCGAAGAACCCTAACAGAAGCCAACACCTTGGATGAATGAATCACATTTAAGTTGAATAAATTCAACACAATGCATAAATTGCCTTAAGATCTGCTAAACTGAAGTAACAAAATGACAAAACTATACAAATTACAGACCAGAAACAAAGCTATAGCTGACTGACCTTATGCCAAATCCCTCGAGCTCTTTTTCAATTAGACGCTTGTGAGTTATTGGCTTTATTGCATCATGAACAATTAAAATGCAATTGCATGTCCTAGCAGTGCTGATAACCAAAATATTGTTAGGACAACAAACGGTATCAAAGTTTTCATCTGAAGCTATTTTGACTTTATGCACACTGAGATGAAGAACCAATATATATTAATTATACCTTTGGGATATTTGGGTGGTCAAGCTTATGCCAAACATCAACCTCTTGCTGAAACGACGCCCGAAGAGCAGCAGTTTCGGCTATCCTCCCCCCAATCCAATATCTTTAATTTTTCACTATAATATCAAGAATACATAAAGCCATGAGAACAATATTGATAAGAAAAATACAGGATAACCTACGGTTAGGGGTTCATTATTCAATCAAATAACACCGTTTTCTTACACTCAATAAAAAAATTTATGTATTTCTAAATTTGTACATGCAGTCACATGTATTCTTTTTCTCCAATGAAATAAACCCCCCCCCCCCGGAGTCTAATAACGATGAAAGTGATTGACCCCAAGAACCCCAAACATGCCAGTCCTAAGAACACAAAGCATATAAACAGTTAACCACACACTTAAGCACATTTGCGTCTGCACAGTGGCCATTTATTAGGTCATAATACACATGAGTAAACCCTAAAACACAAAAATCAAAGTTACAAACTTTCAATACAAACCAATCGAGAATGAATTTATACCACACATTCTGGCATAAAAGAAAAGAAAAATCAATACTAATATTTGACTGCAAGCAGATCTTGTGGGACTACTACAAATAATATAAACCAGTAGATTTCCGTAATAAAATATAACCACAGATGAATGAAGGGCTATTAACTTAATATTTAGAAATAACCGTCAGTCCCTAGCTATTATGCATGCCACTAATGAAAGGAGGGATCACCATTTATTAAGGTACCTGGAATTCACCAATACCAGGATATTTCCAACCATGCTGTTCAGGATAAGAAGGATATTGTAGCTCTCCACACGGACCTAATCCAACTTCAATTTCTGATATTATTCCTTCCTCAAAAAACTCATCAAATTCAACTCTGAAGCTCCTCAAGTGGTCGAAGTAAACCTGCATTGGTTCCATTATAATATAACAAAATAGAAACTCTCAGCATTAAACAATAAGAATGCATAGGGTCTGATTCTTAGAGCATACAAATTCTTAGAAATATAGAACATATAAGTTGGAATAGGTTTAGCAATAGTTTCTTTTAAAACATGAGTGGAACATGTAAAAAAAGACAAATATAGGAAAGGAGATATGACAATCCATAGAAATAAAAGACCAACATAACTAAGTAATTCTAGAATACTATACCTCAACAGCAGTGCGGCCTCTTAAAACCCGCTCTTTATCAATTCCCCAAGTGAGACATTCAGTGTTGCGTTTCCCTTCTTTATTAGTAAAATATATATATCAGGATTCTTTTGGCCCATTTCTGTCACCCAGTGAGAAAGAGGGATAAGTACATCATCCCCGACATCGCCTCCACACTCGTGGAATGACATCACGACCTAAACCAATATACAGCAAGACAATGCACACCATATCCAACATGCATATTCAAAGAAAATATGTAGCGCAGAAAATCTCTCTTTTTTGAAATGAGTTTTAACTGAGTCTCACAAACTAATTTACAAAAAAGAAAGCTATCAGTGGGTTACTTTTCAGCAATCTACTCAAGACTATTTTTCCCCTTACCTAAGACAACAGTCAGAATAAACTTAATTTATATACAATGCAAGCCAAAAGAAGCAACAATTGGTATTCAACCTCACTTCCAGAAAATTACTCAAAAGACAATGAGATAAAGAGTTTCAAAAATATGATGCATATTTCAATCGAGCCTCATTAACAACAGAAAATACAGCAGCACAAAGCATAACAGAAACTTGGAAATGGAAAAGGAACCTGCAATTAGGCTTCTTCAGAAGCAAAAATGGCATTATGGAACCCAGAATAAGAGAGAATCACACAGAGAGAGAGAGAGAGTGGAGTGAGCCGGTCTGAGCAAAAATAAAGATACTGAGCTTTAGAAAGTAGGAAAGGATGTTGTTACCATCCACTAATTGTATTGTTCCATTCAGTAAAGCAACCAATGCAGTTCTAGGCTCATAGTTCCTATTCACATTAACCCAAGAAAATTGAGCTTCAAACTGAAATTTAAAATCAACATTGACCCAAAATACAACTTCAAATCAAATTTAAAATTTATATTGGCCCAAGAAATAAAATTTGTTCCGCTTTAAACTCAGAAATTCGAAACCAACCCATCACCTAGAAAAGTACCAAACAGCAAAAGAAAAGGAGGAGAAAGGAAGACACCACATTTTGCAACCCTTTGAGTTTTTGAAGTCTAAATCTTTCCTCTTCTGCTTCTTCAATGCTTAAAATTTTCACTCACTGACTATTGTCTGCCATTCTTCTTTACTCGGCTTTAAAAATAATTTCCATAGAATAAATAAGCAACAATTTTCTATGAATAAAAAGAAGTGGTAAGAATTCTCCCTCAGAAAATTAAAAAAAAAAAAAAGAATGCTCACAATTTTGTCTAGCAAATACTCCAGCTTTGTATCTTCCTAACATAGGATTTATTTTTTTCCTGTAAGAAAGATTATTCTCTTGTTGCCCGTTGGAATATAAGGGAATGTATATTATTTTCACATTTGAAAATAACTCAAGTTTCTTACAATAAAAAGTAAAATTGTTTGCAGTGTGTCTTTGAGTACTAACAATGCGAACCCCAAGTGACAATGCAATTTCCCGTTCTAAAGCGAAGGAAAAAGAAACGAAAAATTGAAGAAACCAGCCTTTTTGTTCAGTGTGATGGCTGACAATTTATCTAATGGGAATATGAATAATTGTGTTACTCGATACAAAGTGCAAATAAAAATTGAAGAAAGCACTTGAAGATGAAATGAAGTGTGGGTAAAAAAAAAACAAATGAAAATTGAAATTGAGATATATGAACAATGAAAATTGAAATTGAGATATATGAACATTCATTCTTAGAGATGGAAGGGGAGAGAACAAAAGATACTAATCAGCATATTGCCAACATATATCTCAGAAACCACCAGATTAGTTGTAAGGTAGATTGTTAAAGCTGTTTGAGAAACTTTCGTCTACAATATTATGAAGGAATGCAAACTAAGTAATTGGTAGCTGAACGAAATTTTGGCAAGGATTTACAAAGTAACTCTATGAAATTCATCAATAAATCATCTATACAGACGCACATGTTCCCAGTCACAATGATTAAAATCTAAAACATTTATTCATGCATTCGTGCAAGGGAAAGAATGGACTCAGCCTGGTTTCTATCAAGTGTCAACAAAAGAACACAATTCAAGTTGCACAAAGCCAAATTAAATGCATAAGTGACATAAAAATTGAACATACCGCATGATAGTCCTCAATCTTCATCAACCGTGAATCATGAATTATGGATATTATTCAGACCACGAATGTGTAAACCCTCCAATTACGGTTGGTAATCGGGTTCAAAATAATGTTTGTAGAAGTGTGCTGATTCCTTGAATAAAAAGCAGAGTCTGCACTATTCTCACTTTGTCACCCTAATCAATTAGGTCAAATAAGGAGCACATTCATCATCCATATCAGTCCATATAAAATACGCAAACATTAAAAAAAAAATTCAATCTTGACCATTTTTGCTATGCGAAACTGACGCTTAATTCTTTTTTAAGAAATTAGCATAATAGTACACAAAATTTACTTGAATTTAGTCTCCAATTGAACAAAGGCCACAACGATATAAGAATTGAATGAAAGTGGTATACAAAATCAACTCACATCATCACCACCCATCAAAGGAACACGGAATGTGGGGATCATCACAGCAGTTCCCAAGGCCAAAATGTAGTGCTGGAAACCCAAAGCAATTGTTTCCCCTGTTTTCAAAACAAAAAATGAGAACCAAATTGGGGAAATTTTAAAACCCAACAAAAAAGTCGAGATTTGGGTTTGAGAAAAGATGAATAATAAATGAGAAAAGGTGAAAAATAAACATACCCTAAGAGGGATTTGAGTCAATGCCTTACCCTAAGCCTTGGAGTTGGTCCATTGCTGGATGGCTTATCTCTTCTGGTTTTGGAGCTGCCATGGCTTCTGCCCAATTCAAAACCCTTAATCTGCCTCTAAATCCAAAAGGGTTTTTACCAAATGAATCAAAGAACACTGATTTGAGAGAGAAATTCTCCCTGGGTTTTGTTCAATGAATACAAAAATGGAAGTTATTTTTACCAATTTAGAGAGAGATTAGAGTCTATGACAATGAAAAGCACAAAAGAGAAAAAGCTAATGGATCATGGAGGTAAAAGAGGACTGATGACCACACAACCCTCTCTCTTTCTGTCCCTCGAATTGCACTCTCCCTGTCACCGCGGCCCATTCCCTCAGAACCCTACCCCCAAAGTCCTGCTCAACCCTCTAGTACGAATTGGACCTTTGCTCCACCCGAAAAATATTTAAAATGTTCTTAAATGACTACTTTCAACTAAAAGAGTAGAACCAAATCAAAACCAACAACTTTCAACTAAATTGCACAAAAGAGTCAAAATTTAATTGCTATACAGAACTATCGGTTCAATCGAAAACAATCAGAATTCGAGACCCTACCTCCTCCATTCTCTGAGAGCGAAGCCCTCCTCAGGCAGCATCTCCGACGGCGCTGGCAAAATGGGATCGTCGGACCCGCCAAACCCTCCATCAAAACCCTGACCGTTCGATTCGGGCCTCAAGTATCCCTACTGGTCGAAGCAGTAGCAGAAGAAGAAGATGAGGAGGAAGACGATGGACGTTCATAATCGAAGAGTTCGAAGGGATTTACCTTTGGATTCTTCGGCTTTCAGATGGAGTTTGCTTGTGTGTGGGCCTGCAACTTCGTTTGCAGGCGTGATGTTTCCATGGAATTTCTCTCGGGTTTACATAGACAACAAAGCGAGAGAGAAAGCTTTTGCAGAAGGGGAATTGTGTTTTGTCGAGGTTTTGAGTTGTAGGTAGAGCTAACGAAGGGAGATGAGAGAGAGAAGTGGAGCGGCTAGGGTTTGAGTATGGAAGAGATGAAAAATGGAGAGAGCACCTGTTTTGGCTGAAGCACGGCTCACCGAACGAAGAATAAAGAGGCGGTGGCAATTTTGTAAATAACTCTCAATTCACTGTTCATTTCTACAGTGCCATTTCCCATGCTTTCTTTAGACTAAAGTAATTGTCAATTTGCCATGCCAAATATTAGAAAAGTAGAGTGTGGACACGGGAAGAAAACCCAGCTTAGATATGGGACCCACATGCACATGCAAATGCAAATGCAGTTGTCATCAATCTCAATAATTTTCAACAAACCTTTATGTTTTGATTCAAACAGTTTCCCACTTTCGTGCTTTTTGCTTGGTGGGCAAGGAGCAGTTTTTTCTCTTTACTTTATGAGTTTAACTGCCCATTATTATTATTATTATTATTATTTCGAAAATTAAAATTGGTTTCAGAATTTTCTTTTCAATTTTTGGTTTTCAAATGAATCTTATAATGTTTATACGGTCAAAATACATTAACGTGTGCATGAACAAGGAGGAGCACGTCTAAATCGAGAAAAAATCTAAATTTTTGTATGTGGTTCAATATTTTAATGAATAGAGTATTAGGTTTTTACCTATGCGTTCCGTGTTCAAAACTCTCCAATTTTCTAAATTATTGTAATAATTTCGAACATCCCTTAATAATATGGTACAAATTTATAGCTACCGTAATGTTCCAATCAAACAAACAATGACATGTTTACATTTTTCAATACGTGACATTATATAGTTAAATTGATCACGGTGCTACGCGGAAGAGGATCCTCTCTGGATCCATTTTGTGGGGATCCTAGGGATCCCTACATCATAATCGTTCATCGTACATTATGTGATCAGTTTTCGTCAAGTACTATTTGTGTTTTAATTTTAAATAGAAAAAAGTCAAATGATTTTTAACCGCATAATACACGATGAATGAAAGATATGAAGATCCGTAAGATCCCTACAATTTGGATTTAGATAGAATTCAAATCCGTGCTACATGACAACAAAACCATTATATATAAATTGCTCTCTAAAATTAACTCGACATCGTCCTTTTTTAAGTCAGGTATAGCACACAATTAGCCCCTGGATTTGAAAATACAACTGGATCACCGCCATTTATACGATTTAATGGAACGCTAGTCCGAGTTGGACGGGGCCCATTTCCTTCCTAATAAAACAGCCAAGTTGATGTTGGACTGTTGGATTGGTGATAGTGATGAGCTTTCAGCGCGCTGTTTAACTTTAACGCTGCATGATCCATCACACGACGGACAATATATGTGCCAGATACAACGTTGCACCTTTTAACCTTTCTACCCAGTATCCACCTAATTATCTCAGCCTCCATTTAATGTCAATTTAATATCTACAATCTTTTGCTAATAGTTGGGGGGTTTTCTTAACTAAGTTATCTGCGACTCTATAATGTGTACAAAACTGTGCAGGATTAACCACAATCGTACAATGATGACTGAACTCTGAGAAATATTCCCAAATGGACCACACTTAGGTGATTCTGGACAAATCTATGTGTGATTGTCACACTGTCAAATAATTTTAATCAGATTTAAAAAAGATTTCGTGTTGTTGAACCAAAGTTGTAAGAGACTAGAGGAAGTCAGTCCTCGCTAAGGGAAGGAAAGGTTGATATTGGTGTCACGCTCGACCTTGTCGAGGGGGATGAAGGTGCGGTCGATTCAATACTCGAATTAACCAAAGAGTGATATTGTCTACACACCTTCTTTTAAGTATCACACACTCTTTGTTAATTTATGTCATATGATCATCTTTAATTCATTCGATTCGATGACAAAAAATTAAGAGTTGTGTGTGAAAGGTAAAAAGAGGTTAGCAACACTCTTAACTAGAGGTGGCAAATCAACACGTTGGGTTGTTAATGGGTACTCATTAAGACTCATTTAGTTTGATTTCACCTTACACCATTATCACCATTACAAACCCCACCTTTATATTATGATGATATCAAATTAAACGAGTCTTAACGGGCACTCATTAACAACTCAATGTGTTGATCTCCACCTTTACCCTTAACCAAATAATGACGAAAGTTTGACATTTCATATCGTCTTCTCTCATAAGCCTGATAGTCATAAAATAGGAATAAGGATCATCTCCGGATCCTCTTTGGGAGGATCCCGATGATCCGTGTATCGTGTCTATTTATTGTACATCATGCAGTCAGAAATCATTTTAAATTTTATTATTTAAAATTGAACACAAACAGTATTTGACAAAAACTAATCACACGAGGTACGATGAACGGACACGATTCACGGATTCCTGGAATCCCCACAAAGAGGATCCAGATTCATAAAATATGGTATAGAGTTAGACCAAAAGCGACATAATTACACCACATGGCAATGTGACATTCAAACCAAAAAATACTCATTACTCTCAAGTTTAAAGAACACTTAGCTACACTCAATATGTACCGTGATATGGATAATGTTATTAACACCTAGTTTTACTTTCTACATACCTGGTTAAGTTTTGGCTATTGATTTTTTTTTTTCAATTCATTCGATGAGATAACCAAAAATTAAGAAGAGTGTGTAAAAACTAAAAATAAGTATGTGAATAGCACTACCATGTGACAATCCTGAAATTGAACCTTTTCACATTGCAATGCATAATCTTTTTTATGCAGTTAGATAACTTTAGGGTTTAGGTGTGATTAATTGAACTATAACATGAAGTGATAATAAATTACTTTCCCACTTAACTCGTCAATTATATAACTAATTTAATACTTTACTTAATTACAAGTGATGTCTACACTACTAGGTTCGGTCCACGTATGATTGACTTTATACAATGTCACAGTCATAGTGGTATTGAAGAAATCTGAATCTGGCGGGATCTTCTTTATCAGATTCTCGGAGATTCGTGAATTATATTCGTTCATCGTATATCGTGCGGTTAGAAATTATTTTAAATATTTTTATTTAAAATTAAATACAAACAGTACTTGATAATTGATCACATAATATACGATAAACGTACACGATTTACATATCTCTAAAATTCTCGCACCATCTGGAGAGGACCCAGTTGGGTATTCAAGGGCAGAAAAGTCGTCCTCCTCACTCACCTCCATAAGATAGGGGCATTTCCGTCATTCCATGTGCCTTGATCCGAAGTTCAACCCAAAATTTAAGTGGGCCGTCGATTACTCCTAAGCACGATTCCCGTGATTGACGGTGGATAGAGTGCCGCGTGGTCACTCCCCCCCGGTAAATCCATCTCTTCTGCTACGAGACCTCACTCTCTATTTCTCTCTCTCTCTCTCTCTCTCTCTGTCTTCCTCCTCCTCCGAGCTTCCAAAAAGCTCATTTCTTCCTTCGAGCCACCGCCCGCCAGTTGAAGCAGTTGCAGAAGCAGCAGCAGCCGCAGAGAGAAGCTAAGCATGGCGGCATTCCTCATTGTCCTCCTCACATCTCTACTAGCTCTCACCACTCTCCCCGCCGCCGAATCCCGACTCTACACCAACTACTACCAAAAATCGTGCCCGAGATTCGCCCAAATCGTCCAAGACACCGTCACCAATAAGCAGATCATGAATCCCACCACCGCCGCCGCCACTCCCCGCCTCTTCTTCCACGACTGCCTCGCCAACGGCTGCGACGCCTCCATCCTCCTCTCCTCCACCCCCTTCAACAAGGCGAAGGAGAAGCTCGGCGTGTTAGGGATTCAGACCGGAAGGCGGGGAGAGATTAGGCACAGGTGTCGATATCAACCTCTCATAGAACAGAGAAGCAGGAACTACTCGCTGTGCACCAGATCATAAATTGGTCCATCCCTAGTATGCGTTTTAACTCTTCCCTATTAGGTTAATATTTATACTTCCATTATTTAAGCGAATGGTCTCTTGTTCCGGCTTACTTCCACATTTCTCGGTTTTGCTCCCACATTTCTTGGATTCCTGGGATCGTAGAGATCGTAACCATTATTCATACATCCGTTTTCGTTAATTACTATTTATATTTAATTTTAAATTTTAAATTTTAAAATAATTTTTAATATATGATGAACGGTTACGATCGTGCGGGATCGCTACGATCCTTTTCCACATCTCTTGGATACTAGTTGAAAACACACTTATTTACTCAAGTAAGGTGAAAAGGTTGTCAAGTATCATACTTGATGGTATATACTTACAGCTGTCCGACGTGAGAATTCCGTTAATCTTTGTAAGTCCTTTCTCTTTTCTTTTTGGAAAATATTTATCGGATTGTTGGAGAAATTTACTGATATACATTGCCCAGTCTTTTTGATAATTTTACTGCTCATCAGAACAATCTTTTCTAGCAAACCCTACTGACAGTTTTTATCGTTATTAGGTCCGGAATACAGGAAGCCGGATGGAAATTGGTAACAGCATCAGCCACTTCGGAATCATGAGTGCTCAAGTTGTCTTTGTGCTTTTGCTCTTTGCTCTCACGAACATATATACGAAAGATATCGACATTGGTTCAGTTGACCGCTCCTCTCGGAAAGCAATGTAGGTCGTGTTAAATTGGGACTTTGGGCATCAAAATAAGTCACCAGTGTTCAGGAAAAGCGAGCATTAACGCCGCTAAGGCGCACCTCTTGCGGTCTTCTGCAGTTTTTTGCCCTTTATTCCTGCAACTGCTGATTGCTCGTACAAAGTTCGATTGAAATTTAATGAGAGTCAGAGCAATGGGATTTTCCAAGTGTTCCCCAAAGATCGCACAACGTTCGATTGAAATTTTGGCACTCTCCGCACGTCTTGATTAGTTGATACGATTTAACGAGTTATCCCGTTTAGATATTCATTGATCAATTTTGTAACTAAATTTAACAGTACAAACTCCTTTTTTGGCTGTCTGAAATATTTGATTGATCAATTAAATGTTACTATCTTCCATCTGGAAACAATAAAAGTCGGCCCTCTATTGGGAGAAATTTTTGGCCGCGAACGACCATACCACATGGCTGTCTAAAAGCATTTTTAACCGGAGTCCCATCATTATTTTTGAAGACTCATTTACGAACTTAAAGGGAATATGCTTGTTCCTAAAAGAAAATTAGTTCCAATGAGAGTGTCTTATAATATAATCATTAAATTTAGGGACTACAAGTTAAAAAATCATTGTTAATTTCATAGCGGTTGATCTAAATGGTAAAAAAACAAAATAAAACCCCAAAAATACTTTCATACCTCTTGTTTTCTGAGCAACAGACGAGAAAAGTAACGCCATCTGCCCCATTGGAAGCTGGTATTCTAGAATCCCATCACGTGCTGGGAACTTCACCTGAAGAAAGTAGGGATTCTAACATAAAACTAAGAATAATGCTATCTACATACACATCCCTACGCAATCCTTAATTGTAAGGTAATTTTTGGGATCTCCGGACAGTCCCCTATATTATAGGGACTGGAGTTCCAATCCACTGAAAGTCACCAAGTTCTTAACTTTAAAACATACGGTGGTACGAACCAAGTATAAGGACAAATATTGGAGATGCTCTAATTCAACGAACAAAACGCCCATTCTTGCCGATGGTCCCACCCTTCGCCCCTTGCTTGCGTGCGAGCGTCCGAACTCAAGGATTGCCCCTTGTATTTGTGCGCGCGTGCGAGCCCTCAGATTCACTCGTTATATTCCTTTGTAAATTTCTTTGCATCCTTCCGTGAACGTTCAGTTGTTAAAATCAGCAATGTATTAACCTCCTCCGAATATTCGTTGCAGGGAGCAAGAGGGAATAAATAATGCAAGTGGGAATAATTAACCTGAATTTCAGGAAGCCGAGGAAAAGCACCGAGGCAAAGGTCTAGGGCCCTCCCTTTTCCTCCGAGAAACTTTCAGGAACAAGTTGCGTTGACGACGACCTAGACTTTGCTGTGCATCGTCGACTTGGTGGGAAGTTTCGTCGTGGGGCCTTTTGATTGGTGAGACAAAGAAGTCCATAGTATTAATAATAACAATAGGATTGATTCGTATTCTATATAAAGAGAGACATTGATCACATTCTGGTATCCTCTTCTCTCCATCTACTGTGTGTTTTAAGCAGATCGGCAAAAGCTTGAAGATGAACGACCAGTAAGTCAACTTCGACTTCAAACTCCTCCGATCCTTGTTTTTCTTTGAATCCTTTGCCATGATTTTTCTTGTGTTGTCTTGATTAAGCGAAAAATGGTCTGGAATGGCTAAAAGTGTGTTTTTCAACTATCAAAAGTTCTTGCGGTTAAATCTGGCAAAAAAAACTTGCAAAACGCTTTTAGATAGACGGTATAAGCTCTTTTCGGAGAAGCATGTGCTATGTCCGCCTTCTACAAGCACTTCTATATTTTCAAGTGCTTTTTCGAATGGCACTTGAGTATTTAATAAACATTTCCATATGTTCATGGTAAAAGATAAGTGCTTATGAGTAAAGTGAATCTTACGAAATACAATAGCATAATAATCGTCCTTAAAGTTTACCAAAGTGCAATTTCATTCTTACAAGTATTTTGCTAAAGTGGCTTTGTTAGAAATAGGTAGCATTATTCACGTACTTATTTTTACTAACAAGAGAGGATCCTTGCTGTGAGGATCCTAGTCGGATCCTCTTTGTGAGGATATGGAAATCCTCCAATCACATTTGTTTATCGTATATCGTGCGATCGGTTTTTGTAAGATATTGTTTATATTCAATTTTAAATAAAAATAAATTATAATGATTTCTGACCGCACGATGTACGATGAACATATATGATTGGAGGATCCGCCCAGGATCCTCTTGAGACCTACACCTCTTAATTTTAGGGTCGGTAGATCAAATGAAGTGAGGAAGATCAATGAACAATAATTAACAAGGGTGTGTAAGAGGTGAATATGGATTGGGGAATAACACTTTGCTAGAAATATGATGAAATTTCTATAGAAAACTAGCTTGTTTGAAACATTTTTAAACCAATTCTTAGTAAAAATGCAAGTAAAGTTTAGAAAAGTACTTGCAGTGCTTCCTTGCAAAAAGCAAATAGTTTTTTTAAGGAAACACTTCAAATGTTTCTTTATAAGTGCTTTTGAAATCTAAAAATATTGTCACTAAAAAACGCTTTTAATTATTTTAAAAGTACTTTTAAACATGTAATTAAAAATACTTTTGGTGATTAGACTGACATTTTCAGCTATTTCAACAGAAGTTTCAAGCATGTTTGCTATTATAGTTGGATGCTATTTGCTTACACCCTCCATTTAACTTTGCTTCAATTTTTTGTTGGTGATCATGACAGAATTAGCACTGCTGGGCTTGAACTAGCAAATGAGCTGGTGACTTCTCCTCCCCTTCACCAGTCATGGGACGCGGTTCTTGATCAGATGCAAAAGCTCCCCCCAGCAGCTGATCCGAACCAAAAAATGGCCTTAGACATTAGTGAAACCAAGCACTCAAACACCACCATCATATCTTTTCTTACTTCACCAGTCACACTTCACGATCAACAAACGATGGTTTCGTCGTTGACTCTCAAGAACGCAGATTTTTCTCTCTTTGAGTTTTTGTGCGGCAAAAACATCCCAAGTTTCTCCGTCAATGAATTGGCAATCAACTTCTTCAAATTGAACCTCACAAACCTCGATATTTGGCGAAAAAAGGTGCATATTATTGTCTCTCTGATAACTGATAATGTTTAACCATTTTGACGACTTTTAATGTTAGTAAGAAACAGTTAAAAATCATATTTATATTGCTAGATTACTTTTCACTTAATTAGTTTGGATTCTTTGACAAACTGTTAATGTTAACGAAAAACTCTTACAAAACCGAGTTTAAGTGTTTTTTCTTTTACTATGAAAGAAGTTTGAGGAACTTATTTGTAAAGACTTCTCCAAATTGATTATATAGAAATTCAGTAATTGACTAACTTTTATGTAATATTTCAGCTGGTAGAAATGTTAGAAAGCAGCAAATCCTCACGGATAGTTATCACTGGACATTCTTTTGGAGGTGCTGTGGCTACCCTTTTCACCTTATGGCTGCTACAAAGCCTTGACTTGTTGAAAGCGAAACGCCTCCTTTGCATCACTTTCGGTTCACCCTTGATCGGTGACGAACAACTCCGACAATGTGTGTTGGAATTCTCAACATGGAGTTTCTTGCTTCTTGAATGTAGCCTCCATCAATGATCCTGTACCTAAAGTCTTCCTAACTTCGCAAGGGAGTGGTTATAAGCCTTTCGGAACATTCCTACTGTGCTCCTCTTCGGGTGGTTCTTGCATTGAGGACGCTGATGCCATTTTGCAACTATTGGTGGAAACCAGCTCTCAGTGTGTTCAAAATCCAGTTCCGAATTCAGGGACTCAGTTGTTTGATTACGGAAAGATTTTGAATGATCTCAAGACTAAGGCATTGTCTAGAGATGTCTTTGAGTTGGTTGAAGAGGATAGAGTTCCACTTAAAGCTGGAATTAAAACACAGTTGGCAGCAATATTAGGAGTTCTCAGCTCACAGGTATCAAACTTTCAACACAAATATCTGATTTGATGATGATTTAGGGAAATGGTTTCCACACAAACCTGTTTATTTCCATCTTTTGATTCTCCTTTGATTTATTTAATCCAAAGACTAGAAATAAACACAGGTGTGCAAGGGGAGAATATGAGTCTGCGGAAATCACATCCCATGTTTACTTCTAGCTACTAACTTTTCTCTCAACTCCTTTTGTAAAAGTCATTGCAGCAGCAACAAACCAACATAGAATTCGAAAGTCTGATAAAAAAGATGGTCACTCACGAACGTAAACTAGCGATCCAGAAGACGAAGGTTTACAGTTCTTTTTTGAAATTGAATGAGATTAAAAAGTACATGGCCAACATTGAATGGTACAAGAAGGAGTCCAAAGACATGGGAATTGGATACTATGACAAGTACAGAAACAAGCGTTACACGAGTGACATTACTGCCGAAGAGTACAAGAAGAAGCTCTTTAATTATTGGCATGACATGGTTATGGAAGCTGCGAACAAGCCCCAGACAGAAGGAACCGCAATGCGTGTCCGTTTTCTTTTTGCTGGAACGAATTACAGAAGGATGATCGAACCGCTTCACATTGCTGAGTACTACAAGGAAGGTGGAAAAAATTACGTAGGGGAAAGGCCTCCACATTTCGTTCTTTTGGAGCAATGGTTCAAGGAAGACGAGAAAAAGAAGAAGGAAAAGAGAGAGAGGGAAGAAAGGGAGAACCCGCAACTGCGCAGCGCAAGCAAGTCCAACTCAAAAGCAAAGAGTGTGGTTTCTAGTCTGAATGATGATTCTTGTTTTTGGGTGCACGTCGAGGAAGCGCTTATCTTGTGCGACGAACTAGCAAGTAATCCAGATGCCAAGCAAAAGCTGATCGAATTTGAGCATTACGTGCTGGATACACTCGAGAATTTCGCAGTGACACCTGATATTTTCTTGGCGCAGAGCAGCTTCATGCAATGGTGGAACAAGTATAAAGGGATTGTGGGAAGTAGCTACTCCTCAAAACTCACGGACGTCATGAGGCGTCGCACTTATCTCAAGTATGCGGATGGGGTCTCGGTTCTTGCTGGTCTATAAGCCAAGATAATTGAGTTTTAAGCAAGCAATTAAATCAGATAAAGCAAGATTAGTTTTGCTGTATCGCTCATGATCTTCATGGAGAAAGACGGGCTGTACTTGCCGGACTTCTTGGTGCTACTGCATTTGAATGTTTTTGCTACTACATGGAGAAAGACCAGCTTTCTTGTGAGACAAATAATGTGTGGGGGTATTGTTTCAACTATAACGTTGTAATTTCCGCTTCATAAAAGTAACGACGCTCGTTGTATTTTGATTTTCCCAAGTGTGAGTGCTACCTAATCAGTATTTGTAATAAATTGAGACTTACATTTGTTGTAGTTTGCGTTGTATTAATCTTCATATGAACTTATAAAGTACACAAGCTTAATCTAGTAAATACATATTTTAGCCAAGTGACTAAGCGTGGAACTGGAATTCAAAGCTAATGTAGAAATACTTACGTATCCCATAGTGTTATACCTTCTGAATTCTGATGCTTTTTTCACATAGCACGCAACGTGTGATTAAGAAACAAAATGGTATACACCTCGAGATAGGTAAGTCCATCTCTTAGTAAATTAGTTTGATGTAATGTAGTCATGTGACGCGTAAGAAACGAAGAAATGAGCGTACAGCTTGGGACACATTACATATATATTTTACAACTACATGTATGTATGCTCTGGATGAGGCAGACCCTAAGGGAGGGATCTCCATTTTTTTCAAAAAATATGAATTAGTTTTGGAACCTACTCCATATCGAACTTTAACGATCTTAATCGTCTATTTTGTAAATCTCAATTCATAGATCATTCTTGCAAAAATTCAATTAGTCCGAAACCATTTGCCTATTTAATTATTAGATTAAAATTCCGATGTTTTCTTAGAACAAAGCGCTCGTCAGTTTCTTTGAACTCAATTAGATACATCAAATATTTCTAATTTGACTAATATTTAATTACAAGGATAAAATGCAACTTAAAAAATACACGATTCGAATTATTAAAGTTTAATATGGTGCCCTTCCCTTAAAAGCCTTCCTGGATGAGATAGTGATTTAGATAGACACTGTCAATTTGCCATGCCAAATATTAGGAAAGTAGAGTGTAGACATGGAGAAATTTTTAGTTGGGATGAGAATACAAATGGTACACCACTTGTTTTAAGTAGAAATTTTATTTTTTAAGTTATTAACATTTTAGCACACATATCCCACTATTTGTATAGTAACACGTAATGTACCATCGCGTATACCGATCATATTGAAAAATCTCTGATAAACATAGGAAGAAAACCCAGCGTAGATATGGGACCCACATGCACATGCAAATGCAAATGCAGTTCTCATCAATCTCAATAATTTTCAACAAACCTTTATGTTTTGATTCAAACATTTTCCCACTCTCGTTTCTTCCGGTCCTACTGTAATTGTCCTTTCTTTTTAATCTTTATAAGTTTAACTGCCCATTAAAAATAAATTAAAATTGGTTTCAGATTTTTTTTTCTTTCAATTTTTGGTTTTCAAACGAATCTTATGATCTTTATATGGTCAAAATACATTAACGTGTGCATGAACAAGGAGGAGCACGTCTAAATCGAGAAAAAGTTTAAATTTTTGTATGTGATTTAATGTCCTAGTGAATGAAGTGTTAGGTTTCTACTTATATGTGTTCCGTGTTCGAAACTTTCTCATTTTCTAAATTATTGTAATAGTTTTGAACAATATGGTACGAATTTATAGCTACTGTAATGTTCCAATCAAACAAACAATAACACGTGTACATTTTTCAATACGTGACATTGTATAGTTAAATTGATCAAGGTGCTACGTGGAAGAGGATCCTCTCCGAATCCATTTTGCGGGGATCCTAGGGATCTCCACATCATAGCCGTTCATTGTACATCGTACGGTCAATTTTCATAAGTTACTATTTGTGTTTAATTTTAAATAAAAAAAGTCAAATGATTTATGACCACATAATACACGATGAATAACTAATATATGAAGATCCGTAAGATCCCTACAATTTGGATTCATATAGAATTCAAATATGTGCTACATGACAACAAAACCGTTATATATAAATTGCTCTCTAAAATTAACTCGAGATCGTCCTTTTTTAAGTCGGGTACAACACACAATTAGCTCATGGATTCGAAAATACAACTAGATCATCGCCATTTATACGATTCAATGGAACGCTAGTCCAAATTGGAGCGGGGCCCATTTCTTTTCCGATAAAATAGCCACGTTGGTTTTGGACCGTTGGATTGGAGACAATGATGAGCTTTCAGCGCACTGTTTAGTTTTAACTCTGCATGATCCATCATGCGATGGACAATATACGCTCCAGATACAACGTTGCACCTTTTAACCTTTCTCCCTAGTATCCACCTAATTATCTCAGCCTTCATTTAATGACAATTTAATATCTACAATCCCTTGCTAATAGTTGGGGGGTTTTTCTTAACTAAGTTGTGTGTACTGTGTACAAAAATGTGCAGGATAACCACAACTGTACGTTGATGACCGAACTCTGAGAAATATTCCCATAGTGGACCACAGTTTAGGTGATTTTGGAAGAATTTGCATGTGATTGTCACATTGCCAGTAATGGTAATCGGATTTAAAGAAAGATTTAGTGTTATCGAATCAGAGATGCATGAGACCGGAGGAAGGAAGTCCTCACTAAGGGAGGGAGAGGTTGATATTGGCGTCTTGCTCGACCTTGTTGAGGGGGATGGAGGTGCGGTCGGTTTAATACTCAGATTAACCAAACAGTGATGTTGTCCATACATCTTTTTTTAAGTCTCACACATCCGTTGTTAATTTATATCCTTTGATCATCTTCAAATCTTTCGATTCGATAATTAAAATTAATAGATGTGTGTGAAAGGTAAAATAGGGTTAGCAACACCCTTAACTGGAGGTGACAAATCAACCAATTGGGTTGTTAATGGGTACCCATTAAGACTCATATAGTTTGATTTTACCTTACATTATTATTACCACTACCAATCTCACCTCTATAATTTGGTGATATCAAATTAAATGGGTCTTAAATGGTACTCATTAACAACCTAATAAGTTGATTTGTCACCTCTACTCATAACCAAATAGTGTTTATTTATAAGTGTATCATAATAATAAATGAAATATTGACATCTCATATCGCCTCCTCTCATAAGCTCGATAGTCATAAAATAGAGTATAGACATGTGTTAGACCAAAAGTGACGTAATTATATTGCGTGACAATGTGACATTCAAACTTAAAAAATACTTGTTACTCTCAAGTTTAAGGAACAGTTAGCTACACTCAAAATGCATCTTGACACAAATAGTAATATTCACACTTATTTTTACCTCTCACACATCCTGATTAAGTTTTGGCTATTGATTTTTTTCAATTCATTTGATCCGACAACTGAAAATTGATAAAGGTGTGTGAAAAGTAAAAATAAGTGTGTATATAACATAATCATGTGATAATACTTGAAATTTAATTTGTTCACATTGCAATGCATAATAGGCTTTTTATACGATTAGATAACTTCAAGGTTTAGGCGTGATTAATTGAATCATAACATAATGTGATAATGAATTACTCATCCACTTAACTCGTCAATTATACAACTAATTTAATACTTTACTTAACAATTATACAACTAATTTAATACTTTACTTAATTACAAGTCACGCCTACATTGCTAGGCACGGTCAACGTATAATTGACTTTAAACAATGTCACAGCCATCATACTATTGAAGGGCAGAACAGTCGGCCTCACTCAGTCCATAAAATAGGGGCATTTCCGTCATTCCAAATGCCTTGATCCGAAGTTCAACCCAAAATTTAAGTGCGCCGTCCATTATTCCTAAGCACGATTCCCGTAATTGACGGTGGATAGAGTGCCGCGTGGTCACTCCCTTCCCCACTCTATCTCCCCCCGGTAAATCCATCTCATCTACTGCGAGGCCTCTCTCTCTATTTCTCTCTCTCCCTCTGTCTTCCTCCTCCACTGAGCTTCCAAAAAGCTCATTTCTTCCTTCGAGCTACCGCCCGCCAGCTGAAGCAGTTGCAGAAGCAGCAGCAGCAGCCGCAGAGAGAAGCTAAGCATGGCGGCATTCCTCATTGTCCTCCTCACATCTCTACTAGCTCTCACCACTCTCCCTGCCGCCGAATCCCGACTCTACACCAACTACTACCAAAAATCGTGCCCGAGATTCGCCCAAATCGTCCAAGACACCGTCACCAATAAGCAGATCATGAATCCCACCACCGCCGCCGCCACTCTCCGCCTCTTCTTCCACGACTGCCTCGCCAACGGCTGCGACGCCTCCATCCTCCTCTCCTCCACCCCCTTCAACAAGGCCGAGCGCGACGCCGACATCAACCTCTCCCTCCCCGGCGACGCCTTCGACGTCGTCGTCCGCGCCAAGACCGCCCTCGAGCTCGCCTGCCCCAACACCGTCTCCTGCGCCGACATCCTCGCCGTCGCCACCCGCAATCTCGTCACCATGATGGGGGGGCCCTTCTACAACGTCCCCCTCGGCCGCCGCGACGGCCGCTTCTCCAAAGCCTCCGCCGTCGAAGGCAACCTCCCCCGCCCCGCCATGTCCGTCTCCCAGCTCATCCAGGTTTTCGGGTCCAGGGGCTTCTCCGTCCAGGAAATGGTCGCCCTCAGCGGGGCCCACACCATCGGGTTCTCCCACTGCAGCGAGTTCAGCTCGGCGATCTACAACTACAGCAAGTCGGCGCAGTCCGACCCGAGTTACAACCCGAGATTCGCGTCCGGGTTGCAGCAGGCATGCGCGGATTTCAAGAAAAACCCAACTCTCTCCGTATTTAACGACGTTATGACGCCGAACAAATTCGACAATGTCTACTTCCAGAACTTGCCAAAGGGGTTGGGGGTTTTGAAATCGGACCACGCGCTGTTTGACGACGCAAGGACGCGGCCGTTTGTGGAGCTGTACGCCAACGACCAGAACCGCTTCTTTGGGGATTTTGCCAAGGCGATGGAGAAGCTCGGCGTGTTAGGGATTCAAACCGGAAGGCGGGGAGAGATTAGGCACAGATGCGACAAGTCTAATTATTAATTAATTAATTAATTAATTAATTTACGATTCACATTTAAATAATTTGAAAAGGAAAAAAAAATACTTTGTTTTAATTTCTTTGTTTTTTTTTGGGTGCTTTTTTAAGTGCATTTTGTGGTGAGATCCAATATTTGTGAGAAGAAATATAATCTGTATACATGTTTATTTATTTATTTTTGTTAAGGGGATATTTCATATTTGTTGAGCTTAAATATACATTTTTTTTTGTGAATTCTGTAAACAAAAACTTGCGTCCAATTTTCTTCAGTAGTGTTGGTTTTATGGTAGATCCTCGCATTGTACACTAGTGCCCATGTTTGAATGACTTGGTTTTGGAAATTGTGTGGTTTAATTAAGGTAATGGGGAAATGCTGTAACTTGATTACCTATAGATTTGTTTTATTCAATTGATATATGTTCATATAATGTAAATTACCAGAGTGACTTTCAAACTTATGTGTGAAGAAGAGAAAAGCTTCAGCACGGACATTTCAACTAAGTTATTCATTAGCACCTTTTATATAAGCATGATATCGCTTTTTATTTTCGTCACACCCGACCCTATATTGCTTAGAACCCGTGTCAATCAGCTCTAGGAAATCGTAGATACAGAGAAATAACACAATGTTCTAGCTAATTTAGCTACATCAAGTCTGTAATTACTTGGGGATTTGGTTTAGGGGAGAGTGTTTGTGGAAACACGATGGCAGCAAATGGCATAGGTGAATACAATTAACTAATTAACTAACACTACAGCTCTCATTAAAAATAAGGAAAACTAATGAAAATGGTTTAAAACTTTGAGTTTTAACGATAAAGACATAATAAAGAATAAAATAAATAATACCATGATTAATTTTTTAGTGAAAAAATGTGATTTTTCGTTAAAATAAACAGTACTTAAGAGTTTTTTGTTAAATTTTTTTAAAAAATATTATAATTTAAAGATGAACAAATTAATTGAATTTTGTCTATTCTTTACGTCTTATTCGAGAATTTATTTATTTAGTTTAGATGTTCTCTAAAACAAGAAGAAATTGATTTAAAATGGTCCGTATGCAAATTTGCATGTGCATTGAGTAATTTATGTGCCAAAACTCGGATTTTAAATTTGGGAAAACAGCTTCTCATGTCGAGGAGGGGGGCCGAGGAGAAGGATCTGACTGTCGGTCATGTGGGGTCTGATTATTATATGAATAATATAATGATTGTTCTTCCGAGAAGCCTTGTTCTCAATCATGCGGAAGAGGGTACTCTCCAGATTTTTTTTCCGGAAATTCTAGAAATCTTCATATTTTAATCGTTAATCGTATATCGTGCGATCAGTTTTTATTAGTTACTATTTATGTTTAATTTTAAATAATAAAATTCAAATGATTTTTTATCGCACTATTTATGATGAATGATTAAAATATGAGGATCCCTAAAATCCCTTCAATTTGAATCCGGATGAAATTCAAATCTCATTTATTGATATCTTGGGCACAAATAACATTTAAAAATGTTCGGAATTAATCTCATATTGATAAAAGAATGAACATTTGATGACTTATAAGTAAGTTAAGCTATTTTTCATATTACCAATTGATTTTAAAGTAGAATCTTGACTTTTTTATGATATCAGAGCAGGTTGACACACGTGTGAAGTCTAACGGCCACACATGTTCTACATCACTTACTTTTGATTGTCCACATGTTTGGCTTAAAAATTTGTCGCACTTGAAAGGGTTTGCGACAATGTGAGGATAAAAAATCCCACATCAGGGAGGGACCAAACTATACAAAGACTTAGAAAGGTAAATTGTTATTTAATCCCCCTAAACTATCACGTGAGTGTCAATTCCCCTTGAAATATTTTTTCAGCCTATTGACCCCCTAAACTATGTTAAAGTGGTCAATTCACCGCCTGACGTTAAATATCTTTAACTCCATCTAATTTTTTGTTAGAAAGTGTCATGTGCTTGGCACATGACCACCTTTTTACATTTTCTATCTAAATCTTTACAAAGAAAACATATAAAACAAATATTAAAAATAAAAAAAAAACATACAAACCCTAAACTTAATCATTCAAAATAATAGAAAAAGTAAAGTAGAAAACCCAACCCCCAAATCCCATTCCCTGCTAGCAACCTTTCCCTTCGCATTTTGCCCGACACCCCACCCAGCTTAATTCTCTCTCTCTCTCTCTCTCTCTCTGATATACTTTCTTTCCCTGTTCGCTTTCATGGATCATGACAGCGCCTGAAATTTCATGATGGGCGTTTTTATTGGGGGCGTGGGGGGGGGGGGGGGGACGGGGCGGGTGATGCGGCAGGAGGTGGACGGAGGGCGATGGAAGTGTAGGCGGACTGAGATGAGATTTGATGATGGGCAGTTATCCTACCCTTTGAAATGACATATTTGCCTTTAATTTTGAAGGCAATTTGGATGGAACTCAAAAAACTTAACTGATGGGGGCAAATCGACCACTTAAACATAGTTTAGGGGTCACTTGGCTGAAAAAATAGTTCAAGCAGAAAATTGACACTGATAGTTTAGAGGGTTAAATGACAGTTTACTTTAGAAAAAATTGTCTACTTTTCATATTATCAATTAATTTTAGGGAACTTTAACGAAAAGCACCCGGTACTGTTCACTTTAACGAAAAACCACATTTTTACACTAAAAAGTCAATCCTAATACTATTCACTTTACCCTTTATTTTGTCCTTATCATTAAAACTCAAAGTTTTCAAGCCATTTTCATTAGTTTTCCTTTAATTTTATGATGAAACCTTAATTTTCTTCTTCGATCGTTGTATCACAGCTAGTTTGCTTCAATCCAATTGAAGTCAATGACTATTTTCAGCATGGGCTCCATCAAATGGAATAAAGGATCCTATTCAGGTTTTATTTGTGAGGATTCAAATAATCAATTAATTATGTTCGTTTATCATACATTTTGCGATTAAAAATTATTTAAATTAAATATAAATAATACCTGACAAAAGTTAACCGTACAATATACAATTAATGAATTCGATTAATTAATCCTTCAGATTTCCACAAAGAAGATCAAGAGAGGATCCTTGTCCCCATCAAATATCATTTTAAATGCAATTGTTTTAGGGGTGTGCTATCCACACATCCCTTTTTAGTTTTCCTACACCTCTTGTTAATTTTTGTCCTTTGATCTTCTTCAATTCATCCGATCTAACGGTCAAAAATTAAAAAAATATGAAAGAAGTAAAAAGGGATGTGTGAATATCATATTTTTTTTTTTTAACAGAATATCATTGGATGTTGAAACTCGAAATCCAACGAAAGTTGACTACAGATGCGGCATCCAAAGCTAAGCTGAAGATTGGGCCCACTACTACTAAGAAGATGTGAGGCTTGGTTGGATGGTAAAGATGGCCCAGGGACTATGGTGGTCCGGATTGGCCATCGGGCTTGTCTAATATTAACCTGGACTGGACTCTTTAGTCCGGCAACCCATAACTTTACAATTATGCTTTGTTCGGGTTACGCTTGGTTGAACGTTCGTTCTCTCTTGTTCGTGATTTAGTAAAAAGTAATTCACTATTTCACTAACAAGGTACTCTTTAAAGATTAATAAAAGAACATAACTCTTGTCACGTCATATACTTTTATATGTAAGTTATGTCAACCCACATACTTAAAGTCGAAAATGTCACAAGTTCAAGCCCTGCATCACAAACCACATAATGTGAAGTCGCACACCTCTACAATCAAAATCCAAAAACATAAAGTAATTGTACACAATAAAAATGGTACTCAACATCTCTCTTCTTAACGTCGAACGATATTTTAAATATAGAACCTCCTAACAACTTTCAAATTTGTGAAGAAAATGAGACTTCATTATGCTTTTGTTATAATTTTAAAACTATTAAACTATGCGATTGATATTCTTCAAAGAACAATACTTGGTTACTCAAAGATGAGTAGGAGCTCATACTCAAAAAATTTCAAAATTGTTTGCTATCAATTTATAGAATTTTGTGTTTATGATTAGAACCATTCATATTATAAATTATCCTATAAAAATCGCCTTTGTAAAAAATCAATTAAAACTAAGGTCGTTTAATCATCAAATTTTTTAAAAATAAATGAACGGTATTGGTAAAAGCATTATGAACCATTTATGCATTTGCTACAATAGATTGACTAAACGACCTTAGTTTTATTCTTTTTTTTTTTTGCGATCTTTATAGTGTGATTCATAGTATAAACAGTTTTGATCATAAATACAAAGCTTTATGATTAAAATACTAAGAATTTTGAGTAGAAGTTCCCACTCATATTTGAATAGCCAAGTATTGTTCTTGTTTAAATTGAGAGCACATGAACTAAATTGAAAGCACTCCAAAAACTATAATGCCGAAAAACTTTTATCCAAAAAACTGCCAAATTATGTACTCAAAATTCAGATGAGTTGGCACTCAACCCGCCTAACCCACCACCGGTTTGACACCGAGTTCGACTCCCAAACCCCGAGTCGAGCAATTCCTCCCAATCCACTTCTTCTTCTTCCTTCTCTTTCCCTCTCATCATCTCCAACATTCTCCTCGCTTTCTCCCTCGCCCGTTCGCTTCCCTTTTTCTCCACCTCTCTCAACACCCCCACCACGCCCGCCGTCTTCGCCAACCCTTTGAACCTCAAACCGCCGTAACTCAGCCCATACAATGTGGCCACACAACTCTCTTGAGTCGCCTTCGAGTCAAACTCGTTTCCCCTTAACACACTCACCAAACACTCCACCCCACCCGAATCCAACAATGCGGCCCGCCCGTCCGCACACAAACTCAAATTACACAATATGAGCAATACCCGACCCGTCATGTGGCCAGACTTTACCATTCTCAACAGGACCGGAACCGACCCGAGCTTAACCAACTTGGACCGGTTGCTCTGAACTAGTGAGAGGTGGTACAATGCGAGTGCCGAGTCATGCCGAGTCCGCTCGCTCTCGGACCGGAGTAAGTGCAGCAAAGGCGGCAAAGCGCCCAATGCGCCAATCGCGGTCTTGCAGTCGTCATCAAGTGCCAAGCTGAAGAACGCACCGGAAGCGTGTTCCTGCGCCTCACGGGATCCTGCCTTGAGCACGTCGATCAGAGGAGGGAGGACTCCTGACCGTACGATCTTAATCTTGTTTGACTTTTCCAGCGATAGATTGACCAACGCTGCGACGGAGTCCACCTGAACGGCTGTGTACCTGGATATAATCAGAGGGCGGAGGCCG